TGACTCCCAAGGTGGATGGACCTGTCCGTCCAGCATTCACACTGCCGCAGTCTGGCTGGGCACACAATCATGAGCCACCACACAGCTTGTAGATTCAAACAGCAACTCTTTATTCCCGAACTCACACCAGCCGTCTACAATCACGTTCTGGGGAAATCCACGTTCTCTGCCCAAATCCACCTCCACTGGGCTTCTATCTCCAAAATATACTGTCTGAATCCCGTGAGAACTCAAGGGGAACTCAGGCAGCAGGATACGCCCTATTCCCAGCAGGAATAATCTTAAACCTTAAACCTGGAACCTAAACTGGGAACGCCCTAAACACGATTATCCTAAAACCGGGAACACCCTAATCTGCCTTGGTCCTTGAGCAAGGTCACCTACATTCAATGTCACTGCAACATGTCAGCAACATGGGGTACGCTGGCAAGGAAATTGTCATACCTACTTGGCTAATGGCTCCCAGCACACACCAGCAATGCATGGGAGTTCCTGTTGCTCCTTGTCCTGGCCAGCTTTGGTGATGTCCATATTTGGATTTGCCCATTCTAATAGGTGTGCCTGGTATCTCATTGTTTGATTCTGCATTTTTCTGATGACATAAGATGTTAAACATCTTTTCATATGTTTATTTGACATCTGTATATCATATCTGTTAAGGTGTCTAAGTCTTTTCCCCATTTTTAAATCCAGATTTATTTCTTATTGTTGAATTCAAGAGTTATTTTTATATTTTCTATAATACTCCTTTATCAGTTTTTTTTTTGCATATTTTCTCCCAATCTGTGGGGCCTGTGTTCTCATCCTTTTGAGCAGACTTTTTAATTTTAGTAAAATCCAGCTTATTAATTATTTCTAAATGAATTGTGACTTTGATATTGCACCTAAAAAATCATCACCATACCCAAGGTCACCCAGATATTTTCCTAAGGTGTTTTTTTAAGAGTTTTACTGTTATGCATTTTTGAATTTACATTTATGATCCATTTTTAATTACTTTTCTGAAGTATGTGAGTTCTGTGTCTGGATTTGTTTTTGTTGGTTTGTTTGATTGTTTTTGGACGAGGGTGTCTGTCTCAGTACCATAGGTTTAAAGGACAATCTTTCTCTGCTGTGTTGCCTTTGCTCCTTTGTCAAAGACCAGCTGACCATCTCTATATGGCTCTATCCCTGAGTTCTCCACTCAAACCCATTGCTGGGTTCTCATTGCTGGGCTGTGTCTCCTTTGCTAGTGTCTGCTGTCTCCATTACTGTCGCTGTGCAGGAAGTCCTGAAGTTGGGCCAAGTTAGCCCTTCAACTTTGTCCTACTTCCATTTCAGGTCGGCTATTCTAGGTCTTTGGCCTGTCCATATGAATCTCAAAGTCAACTTGTTGATATCCAGAAAATAACTTGCTGAGGTTTTGATTGGGAATCTTTTGAATCTATAGATAAAGTTGGGAAGAACTGACATCTGGACAATATAGAGACTTCCCACAGGGAATATCTTTTTGTTGTTGTACTTCTTTGGTTTCTCTCATGAAATTTTTGTAGTTTTTTTTTTTTTTTGTAGATTACAGAGGCATTGTGATCTGCCATTGTTGGATTAAATAGTCTATAGATGTTGATTTTATCTGGTTGATTGATGGGGATGTTGAGTTTGACTGTATCCCTACTGGTTTTCTACCTGTTGGATATATTTCTGGTGGATGCATAGGTGTAAGTCTCACATATTTTGTTAGAGTGTTACTAAATATTATCTTTTATCAAGTGCTAATGTAAATAATAATGTGTTTTAAATTTCAAATTCCATCTGTTCATTGTTAGTATATAAGTGATTGATTTTGTGTATTAACCTTGTATTTTCAGCCTTACTATAATTTCTTCTTAGTTCTAACGCTCTTTTGTTGATTATTACAGATTTTCTACATAGACAAGCATATGATCTGTGAACAAAGATAGTTTTATTTCTTCCTTTTTAATCTGTTTGCCTTTTATTTCCTTTTCTTGTCTTATTGTGCTATCTAGGACTTCTAGTATATTGAGAATTCATGGTGAGAGGGAATATCCTTGCCTTGGTACTGGTCTTAGCAAGAAAGTTTCTAGTTTCTCACCATTAAATATGATATTAGCTGTATGTGTTTTGTAGACGCAATTTTTCATGGTGAGAAAGTTTTCTTCCACTAGTTTACTCATATTATCTTGAATGAATATTGGATTTTGTTCAATCCTTTTTCTGCATCTATTGATATAATCTTGTGATTCTCCTTCTGTAGCCTATTTATATGATAGATATATTAATTGATTTTCAAATATTAAACCAACTTTGTATACCTGAAATAAATCCTACTTGTTTATGGTATTATTTTGTGAAGAACTTTTGTATCTATGTTCATGAGAGATACTTGTCTATAGTTTTCTTATAATCTCTTTGTTTTTGGTGTTGGGGTAATACTGGCCTCATAATTGCTCTACTTCTGTCTTCTTGAGGATATTATAGATAATTGGCATAATCTTTTCCTAACATTTTTGGTAGAATTCACCAGTAAACCCATCTAGACCTAACACTTTCTGATTTGGAAGGTTATTAATTATTAATTCAAGTTTTTAAAATAGATACAGTCCATTTGAAATGCTTATTTCTTCTCATGTGTGTCTTGACAGAGTATGTCTTTCAAGAATTTGATTCATCTCATGTAAGTTATCAAATTTGTGGGCAGAGAGTTTTTTATAATATTACTTTATTATCTTATTAATGTATTTGGGATGTGTAATAGTATTCTCTCTTTCATTTCTGATATTATTAATTTATGTCTCTTTTCTCTTAGTTAACTTTTCTTGAGTCTTATCAATTTTATTGATATTTTCATAGAACTAGCTCTTGGTTTCTCTGATTTTCTCTATTGATTTCTATTTTCAATTTAATTAATTTCTTTTTATTATTTATTTTCTTCTGGTTATTTCTGATTTAATTTTCTCTTTTTTATCTAGTTTCCTAAAGTGGAAACTAAGATCATCAATTTTAGACTTTCTTCTTTTCGAATACATGCATTCACTGCTAATATTCTAAGTGTTGCTTTCACTGAATCCCATCAATTTTGATAAGTTGGGCTTTCATTTTAGTTTTGTTCAAAACATTTTATATTTGTTGTATGATTTCTTGTCTGACCTATCTGTTATTTAGACTTACATGGTTAATTTCCAAGTATTTTGAATTCCAGCTACCTTTCTTTCTTGATTTCTCATTTAATTCCATTGTGGTGTAAGAGCAAACATCATTTGCTTTCTTCTGAATTCACCGATGTGTGTTTAATTGCCTGCCCTGTGGTCTGTCTTGGTGAGGGTTGTCTGTGAGTTCCAGAGACATTGTGATCTGCCATTGTTGGATTAAGCAGTCAATAGATGTTGATTTGATCTGGTTGATTGGTGGTGATGTTGAGTTTGGCTGTATCCCCACTGTTTTTCTGCCTGTTGGGCCTATTTCTGATGGATGCATAGTTGGAAGTGTCTAACTATGATAGTGGATTCACCTGTTTTCCCTGAGTTCTCAGTTTTTGCCTCACATCCTGACATTTGTTCTGGGGTGCAACACATTGAGGGCTGTTATGTCTTCTTGGAGACTTGACCCTTTTCTCCTTATGTAATGTCCTTTATTCCTGATAACTTTTTTTGCTCTTACGTCTGCTTTGTCTGAAATCAATACAACCATGCCTGCTTCCTTCTGATTAGAGTTAGCATGGTGTATCTTTTTCCATCTGTTTACTCCTACTATGTTTTTATATTCAAAGTGGGTTTTTTTTTTTTTGTATATGATACCTGTTAGATTTCCCTTAATCCACTCTGACAACCTCTGCCTCTCAGTTGGTGCCCTCAGACCACCCATGTGTAAAGTCACTCCTGATGTACTTCCATGCACAGCTACCACATCTGTTGCTGCTTTCTTTCTTCTTTTCCTGTTGCCTTTGTTTTGTGTTCCTGTTTTTGTATTCAACCCTTTTTCTTTTGATTTCATTTTCTCTTTTTTCTACCAATTCTCCCCACACACATTTTGTTTTTTACTTTTTTTACTTGTTATCCTGAAGTTTGCAATATACATTTACAATTAACCCAAATCCACTTGCAAATCACACTGCTGCACCACACCTATTGACAGACAGTACAAGTACCTTACAATTTTCTCCAACTATCACAACTGATGACCTAATGCTGGGCTCACAAAATCTGACTGTTCCAATAACTTAAGAAAATGACAAAGAAAGCATGCAAACACACAGAAGTACCTTTTCAAAATCCATGACAGCTCTTTGACCTTAAGGTCCGTGGAAAGAGACAGCCACTGGAATTCTTTATTCTTATATAGGGGACACACAAGGAGAGGTTCCATGGAACATTCTATCCCCAAAAGGGCAAAGGGGTAGGATTATAAAGGAACAGGTGAGTGTAACTCAACCCCACCAGGTGACACTTAGTTTTGGAGCCATACCTCATTGTCAGATCGGAGGTAAAGCCCAGAATATTTCGGGGTGCAATAATTGTTCAGTATCTCTTGCTCAGGACTTAAGGGCATATATTTCCAGAGTGGCTCCTGACATATGAAGGCAAAATCTCCCTAATTCCTCCCTCCTATCTCTGATACACCATTGCTGTCATTTGTTGTAATTATACACAAGCTCCATAATCAAGAACATTTTGCTATTTTTATTTTGATCAAATGGGTATCTGGTCAATTAAGAATAAGAAAAGTATGAGGTAGAAAATTGAAGAAAAAGAATAAGAATGATTTTGTTTCACCTTCACTTATTCCTTCTCTGGTGAGTTCTTTCCTTAAATAGATCTGAGTGTCTGGCCATTATCACTTTTCTTCTCTGTGAAGAACTTTTAACGTTCTTGGCAGGTCTAGGGCAACCAGTCCCTCCCCTTAGGTTTACCTTCTGTAAGGCGATCACTGGTGCAGAATTCTAGGTTAGTGGTTTGTTCCTCCCAGTACTGCCGCAATCTGGCTGGGCACAAATCACAAGCCACTCAAGCAGGAACAAACTTTATTTCCAAACTCCCACAGCCCCGAACGCCACCTACGTGGCTCCTCCAGGAACACACCACACATCAACTGGAACTCACTCTCCCAGAACTTCCCCATCCAACGCGAACTCTCCAGGAATCCCCGAGAGAGCTCCCAAGTAGCGGGCGCCTGAGGCAGCAGGGGCCGCCCTATTGACACAGCTTAACTTAATTATCATCATCTTAATGGCTCGCCTCTCAACCATTACTTCTGGCAAAATGCCAGGGGCCATTCCTACTCGGCTGTGGCTCTCAGCATCTCCCCCCTTCTGTTTAATTAAACACCAAGCATGTGGCTTAGGGACCGTGCCTGTCTTAGGTTGTCCAATACTACATATGGTTCTTACCTGTCATCGGATGAGCTGACCTCAAGGCATCAGCCTCCTGTCTTAGGTTGGTACCACTGCAATTGGATCTTACCGGTCATTAACTACCAGTCCAGCATACAGCCATACTAGTGGATAGGCCTTTGCACCAGTGGGTGTGGGGGTGAGGTTCTTTGCCTCACCTCTGTTGGCCCCCAAATTTGGCCTTTGCACCAGTGTGGGGGGGGTGAGGTTCTTTGCCTCACCTCTGTTGGCCCCCAAATTTTAGACTATCACAAGCAGAAGGGAAGAGGATGCAAAATGCCACGACACCAAGCCAAATGACGGCTCTTTTTGGAAAAATTGTACTACCGATGACACCATCAGCAAAGATGCCCCAGCACTACCACAATTTGCTGCACCAACAGATAGTTCACAATGCATACAAGTGATACATAGTCCATGCAAGTTCTGCAAGCAGTTCAAAGCAGAGGAATCCATTAATATGTCCATTTCCTCCCAAAGTAAATCGACTCCTTGATTGAGCATTACTTGTTGAGTTATTATTCATTGATGCATCAGTTTATACAGTTTACTGTGATAGCTATCGAAGAAGCTGTAGTTTGGTTTTATCTTTGTCTTCAGCGGCACTGGGATGAAGACAGGAATTCTGGCAATGATGGCTAAAAAAAAATTATGTAACATTCCAGCAGGCACTAAGAAAACAATTTTCTGAACAATTTACATTACCCTGAACAGAATTATTAAATATAATGAAAAGGAAATGTGAAAGTAAACAAACAGATCTGTTAACCTCCTTTTTTTGTTCACATATCAAAACAATCCTCAACAGCTGTTTACCCAATTTAAATTAAACCATTTAAAACATGTGAATAAAAAAAATATTTGGGTCCATTTTTTCATGAGCACTCCTCATATATGATATATGGACATATGCACATACAGACATACAACACAAAACACTAGTGTGCACACATGATACGATACATACAACACATAACATAAGAAAGGCCTTGTAGCATTTTACAGGTGAAATCTCCATTGCAATGTTTAAAACTCCACAGTCAAAAAATAGAACTGATCAGAAAAACATTAACCTAGGTCTGTATTAGCTCAAAAAGTAAAATAGAACTTCATGATGTGGGAAAAGGCAATAATAAAATAGATATTGAAAAAAGGCATCCTGGTTACCACCTGGGTTTGACTCTTCTTTGGATATCCCATCCTTTTTCCTGTAACTTGCATATGGGTCTGAAGGTATTCCCACAAGCAAGCCCCAAGGTTTTTTACATTTGAAATAGGCTCTAATGGTGTTCATTATTCATTAGCCTCCAGGTGTGGGAGAACCACTGTTGCAGATGTAAGGATATCAGCTGTTACGGATTTGAGCCAAGTCATCTTCTTTTTGGTCTGTAGAAATCACTTTAATTAGTCTCTCTGGAATCCAAATCGGCTGCTGTTCTCCCTGTGGAAACACACAAACAAACCCCCGACTCCAGACAATCACTGGGTCAGGACCTTTCCATTGTCCTGTTAGAATATCCTTCCAAAGTACCTTAGGCTTATGTACATTTTTTGGACACATATGCCTTTCCACAGCACTAAGCCCTGATGAATCCAAATTTTAAAAGTTTAGAGTAAAAAGGGTTATTTTAAGTTTATCTTTGGGGGATATATATACCCCTTCCCAATTCCCTCTTTTTGCTATAATAAGTACATTTTAATAGTTTGATGAGCTCTTTCAACTATACCTTGACCCTGTGAATTGTATGGGATTCCTGTTATATGAGTAATGCCAAATGATGAGCAAAATTGTTTAAAAGAGATAGAAGTATAGCCAGGACCATTATCTGTTTTTAACTGTTTTGGAACGCCCACAGTGGCAAAATTTTGTAAGCAATGAGGTATAATATCTTTAGTTTTTTCCTCTGGCATGAAGGGAGCCCATCAAAAATCCGGAAGAAGTATCAACTGTAACATGCAAATATTTTAATTTTCCAAATTCTGGCAAGTGTGTGACGTCCATCTGCCAAATATGATTAGGTATCAGTCCTCTAGGATTGACTCCAAGATTAACTTGTGGTAAAAAGGTCACACAATTTTGACATTATTTTATTATTTGTCTAGCTTGTTCCTTAGTTATTTTTAAATGCTTTTGTAAAGTATTAGCATTGACATGGAACCTTTTATGAAAATTTGTAGCTTCTTCTAGTGTAGAGAAAATATGTATGTCATGTGTAGTTTTATCTGCTAAATCGTTGCCCAAACTAAGGGCTCCAGGCAATCCTGTATGTGCCCCGATATGTCCTATAAAGAATGAATCTTTTCTGTCCCAGATTAGACTTTGTATAGTGGAAAACAAAGAGAAAACAGTAGAGGAAGGGGAAATCCTACCAGCATCTTCAAGGGATACTATAGCATTAACTATATACTGACTATCAGAAAATAAATTAAATACAGAATCTTTAAACATCACAAAAGCTTGTAATACTGCATTAAGCTCTACCTTTTGAGCTGATTGTTTGGGTACTAAAAATGTAAAAGTTTGATCAGGGGTAACTACTGCTGCTGTACCATTATTTGACCCACCAGTGAATATATTTGGCGCATTCATGATAGGTGTTTTTCTTGTCATTTTTGGAAAAACTACAGGATGCGAAGACCAAAAAGACAACAAAGGATTAGATGGTAAGTGATTATCAAATGAAACATTAGATTTACACATGATTATTGCCCAAGTATTTAACTCATTAGCTAACTCATCAATTTGATTCATAGTATATGGAGAAATAATTTTATTGGGAGAAATTCCAAACACTCCCTTGGCTGCTTTTATCCCTTTGAGTATCAATTGTCCTACAGCCTCAGGATACCTAGTAAGAATAGTGTTAGGAGAATAAGATAAATGTATCCACAACAATGGACCTTCTTGCCAAAATACTCCTGTAGGAATATTTTTTGTTGGCAGTACAATAAATAATAAAGGCAAACTTATATCAATTCTATCTAAATGCATATTTTCCATATATGTTTCAATAATTTTTAATGCCTTTCTTGCTTCAGGCATTGACATTCATGGTGAATTTGGATCTGATGGACCTTTTAGGATATCAAATAAAGGTCCCAACTCTCCTGTTGGTATGCCTAGATAAGGCCTTATCCAATTTATGTCTCCTAATAACTTTTGGGAGTTGTTAAGTGATTTGAGTTGATCTACTCGTATTTGAATTTTTGGTGGATGGACCATGGTTGAGGATAATAGAACTCCTAAATAATTAATTGGAAAATTTAATTGTACTTTATCTATTGCTATCTCTAGACTATAATTTTTTAATAAGTTTGTAAGTGTGGCATAACATTCTAGTAATGTGTTTTTATCTTTGTGTGCTAATAATACATCATCCATATAGTGAAATATTTGTAGTTCAGGATTTGATTTCTAAGTGGCTGGATTGCTTTGTTAACATAAATTTGACACATAGTTGGGCTGTTAGCCATCCCTTGAGGGAGTACTTTCCATTCATATTTCTGATCAGGAACTTCATGATTCAACGCAGGGACAGTAAATGCAAAACCTGGACTATCCTCAGGATGAATTGGAATTGAAAAAAAAAACAATCTTTAATATCTATAACTAAAACATACCAGGTTTTTGGCAAAGCAGACAATTGAGGAATCCCTGATTGAGCAGGTCCCATAATAACCATCTCATTATTTATACCTCTTAAATCTTGCAATAATCTCCATTTATCAGATTTATTTTTAATGACAAAAATGGGAGTATAATGGGGAGATACCGAAGGTTGTATATGTCCCTCCACTAATTGTTGTTTGACCAGGTCATGGGCTGCTTGTATCTTTTCTTTAGTCAGGAGCCACTGAGGAACCCATACTGGTCTTTCTGATTTCCAAGTAATTTTTATTGTCTCAGTGACCCCTCCTGAAAACCCAATCCATGTCTATCTATTTCTTGATCTATTCGTATTGGCGCCACTATACTTTGTCCTTTTTCTCCTAATCTTTTTCCTTTCCTAAAACCTTGTCTAGCCATAATAGTGGGTGCATTTGGATTGATATTATTTGTTAATGTCAAACCTAATTGGTGTAGGACATCTTGTCCCCATAAATTTATAGGAAGATGATCCAATACATATGGCTGTATAGTTCCTTCACATCCTTCAGATCCTTCCAATCTAATACCATTGCACTTCTATGGGGATTAGTCGCCACTCCTAGGCCTCAAGGCGTTTGAGTGGCTTGTTGTAACGGCCAATGATTTGGCCATTCTTGATGAGAGATGATGCTAAGGTCTGCACCTGTATCCAGTAGTCCATTAAATTCATGTCCTTGAATGTTTAGTTTTAGCATTGGGTGAGAATCTAAATTTAAAGACAGCATAGTCCAATCTACATCTGTGGAGTCTAATCCCCTGGAACCTCTTTCTACAGTACGACTGGAAAATTTATCATGCAGGCTTGGTATTATTAATAACTGTGCTATTCTATCTCCTGGCGAAATTACTGATATACCTCTTGGAGAACTAGCTATAATTTTTATTTCACCTTCATAATCGGGATCAATTACCCCAGGACTTATCATAAGTCCTTTTAGAGTAGAAGAACTGTGTCCTAACAATAAGCCTACTGTTCCTTGGGGAAGAGGTCCTTTTACTCCTATGGGAATGATTTGAACTCCCATCTCTGGAGTTAGTACTGCTCTGGTGGAGGCACAGATGTCCAACCCTGCGCTCCCTCTGGTTTGTCTGATGAGAGATCTGATGGATAATGTGTCCTGGGCACTACCCTGATGGTGTTTCTGGGTTCCTCCATGGCCCCATATATTTGTGGTCATGGGTCCTGGAGCATTGGGCCCCCCAGTCCGTTTTTTGGCAATGGAGCCCAATGCCTTTCTCCACGATATAGTGGGTAAACACCTGGTCCTTGTTCGTTTTTTGATAATGGAGTACCCTCTATGGTGATTTGAGAATGGCATTCATTAGCCCAATGTCTCCCTCTACGGCATCATGGGCAAATACCCGGTATTCTATCCCTTTGATACCTAGTTTTGTTAAACCCTCCTCCTATGGGGAAATTCCTTTTAAAATGTCCTGTTTGTTCACAATTGTAGTATGTTTTTGGCCTGGCATCTAAAGCCTGTTGTACTGCAGCTGCCAAGACTTGCCCTTGTTCATTAATGTCTCTACATAATTTAATATATGTGTTTAAATCTTCATGTTTCCATGGTCTAATGACCTCTCTGCACCAACTATTTGCTTGCTCATAAGCCAGTTGTTTTATTAATGGCATTGCTTGTTCTGTATCCCCCAAAACTCTGGTAGCTGTTTGAATAAGCCTATCTACAAATTCAGCGTAAGGTTCATTAGCTCCCTGTATTACCTTAGATAATTGACCTTGTAAATCTCCATGTCCTTGTAAAGTCTTCCATGCCCTAATTGCATCTGCAGCAATTTGTGAGTATATAGCAGGATCATATCTAATTTGTTGCTGCTGATCCTCATAAGGTCCTTTTCCTAACAACATATCTAGATTTCTCTGAGGATAACCGGCTGCTGCATTTCGCCTAGCTGTCTCTCGAGCTAGTCAGACAGAGGAAGAAAATTTAAAGGAGGAAGAACTATCAGGGGAAAAGTTACAACAGGAGGCAAGCGCTCTACCACTGAGCCACAACTCCGGCCCTCTTTCTTAGAATTTCCATCTCTCTGTGTACATTTCCCACCTCTTCCTGAGTGCTGTCCACTTTTTGCATTAGTGCTTCTAGTGCAGTAATCATCGTTGTCTTCAACTCCAGTCTGATAATCCCAACATCCCTGCCAAATTGGAGTCTGTTGCTGATGTTGGCTTAGTCTTTATGAATGGTATTTTTAACTTCTAGTATGCCTTGTAATTTTTTCTTGATAGTCAGACATGGTATTTTTCATAAAGGAAGCCAGCACTGGAACCTAACGCTGCTTGTCCCAGAAACCTCCACTCAAGGTTTTGTCAGTAGTTGTGATGGTTTGGTATTCACCTGTCGCCCTCTCTCCAATTTTGGTGGCAGTGGTTTGCTCTGTGATCTCTCTTCTCTGCAAATCTAAAAAGTGTCTGATTTTTAAGTAGATTTGGCTTTTTAGCTATTTTTAGGATGGAGCAATTATTTCCAAGCTACTTATACATCAGTCTGGTTGTTTTTAATTCAGATACTTATTGTATTCATAGTTATTGTGATTGATGGTTAAATTTGGTGGCTATTTCTATCCTTGTTTGTGTCCCTTTTACTCATAGAATCCTTTTTCTTGACCTCATTCAAATTAACTCAATAGTCTCTGTCATCTACTGAGCCTTCCTCTCTGCTCCTAGGTGTCTATAAATGTGTTTTTATGTATTTTTCCTGCTTGGGATTCATTTGAATTCTTCAACAGATCAGTGTGTTGATAGTTTAGAATAATTATCAACATTATCATTACAA